CGTGACATTTCCCGACCAGGCGCCGAGTGGTGCCAATCACAACACACACTGTCCCAGCTAACCAATCACAGCACATTTCGTATATCAGAAGGCGGGCCTTCATTTGATACAGGAACTATTCGAGCCATTCATGCCAGACTGGGGAGAGAGGTGTTGTAATAATGTTAAATATGTGAAAAATAATGTGTTTTTCGAACAACCTAGTATGAGAGCCTGTTCTAGTACACCCCCCAAAACAAAATCAAGACTTTGTAAAAGAGCATAATAGGACCCCTTTAAATAAAATTAAAACACTACCATTTTAAGACTGTAAATACATACACAAAACTGTATTCAATGAAATCAACACTTCATTTTACACAATATTAAACAATGTTTTTTTTATTTAAAAATATGGAAAAATTAGATTTGCATGTTGCTAAACTAACCTTACAATACTCTAACAAGTAGGGGTGCTCCGATTGATCGGCTACCGATCACTATCGGCCGATAATCACGTTGGGATGATTGATCAGCGGTCTCTAAAAGGCCGATCTCCAAAAAACTATCTCAAGCTGAAGACACTGCTGTGAGAGGTTTGGCAAGACATGCAGTCTCTGTCCGGATTAAATATGTGAAAAATAATGTGTTTTTCGAACAACCTAGTATGAGAGCCTGTTCTAGTACACCCCCCAAAACAAAATCAAGACTTTGTAAAAGAGCATAATAGGACCCCTTTAAATAAAATTAAAACACTACCATTTTAAGACTGTAAATACATACACAAAACTGTATTCAATGAAATCAACACTTCATTTTACACAATATTAAACAATGTTTTTTTTATTTAAAAATATGGAAAAATTAGATTTGCATGTTGCTAAACTAATCTTACAATACTCTAACAAGTAGGGGTGCTCCGATTGATCGGCTACCGATCACTATCGGCCGATAATCACGTTGGGATGATTGATCAGCGGTCTCTAAAAGGCCGATCTCCAAAAAACTATCTCAAGCTGAAGACACTGCTGTGAGAGGTTTGGCAAGACATGCAGTCTCTGTCCGGAGCGGGTGAAATCATTATAATGCTGAAGGTGAGGTACTCGCCTTCACATTTCTTCATTAAATAACTTATAAAGTAATTTGAAAACCTTGTGTGAGACGTAATTTCACAAACAGCATGAGTGAATCACCGCGCACTCTCTCTTTCTCTCTCAAAATATGCAAATGGATGGAGACCGTGCGCTCATGCACACTCGCAGCGCACACACACATTACTCCGTTTGCAGTGCGTATGTGGTGCGTATTTTTTTCCGCGCTCATGTTAACGGATTAATAAAGCGTGCGCACTGCACACGGTTGCGGTCCAGCAGTGCGTTCCAGGAGCGGTGCGTCTGCAGCAGTGCAGAGATCGATTCCGCTGCATGCGCTGAATTAAAGGCTGCGTTTACACTTGGCATTAACATGCGATCACCGTGATCCGATCAAGCAGATCGGATCATCAGTCAATCAGAACACGGCGCGTTTACACTTGGCAACATCAACTGACTTTTCTATCTGGATAACCGATCAGATCTGTCTTTCCCGCGCAATATTTAAATAAGTTTGCAGAGAATGGCCCGGTGCAAAGTCAACCTGAAGTGGTGGGCTTTCTTTTGAAAATCATTTTCGGTCGCGGGACATTTTACAAATCAACGATAAGTGTAGGAGTCTCACTAGTCT